CGTTGTTCCCGGAGCCGTTGTTGCTTCCAGAACCATTGTTGCCTCCAGAGCCGTTGTTACTTCCAGATGGATCATTGTTTCCAGAACCATCATTGCTTCCAGAGCCATTGCTTCCAGAGCCATCATTACCATCAGAACTGCCGGAGCCATCGTCGTCATCATCACAGCCTCCGCCGGAAACCTGATCAGTGGCTCCAACATCTCTCTTTTGAGAACAACCGCCTCCAAGAGCCAAAAGCCCAACAGACTGCTCTTCCTGTATACCAGTCAGCACAACATGAACAGCAATATATACCGTAAGGGTGAACGTGCAGTTGCGGGAGCCCTGGCCTGTAACTCAACAGGGTGAGCTCCAACCGGGGAGGCAAATAGCGAAGCACTCGATAGTGCCAGAGCCAAGATGGCGGTGTGTGTATGAGAAGGCATTGTGTCTAGGGAGCAATAGATTCAAATCGAAGATGTAGACAGGAATGTTCGTTTTACTTGAAACTGGAGGCCTCGGTGGAGACCAGAAAAATCTCAAGACGAATTCGAAGCTGAGGCGTAAATGTGACCGGGATTAGTTACAAGTCTCTCGATTTATAGCATTTTTCTAAAGACCTACAATATATCGTGATGGTGCCAAGATTTCCCGAAACGGCTTGAACAGACTAGGTGAAGCAACGTCCCAGGAGATTTTTGTCACACAGTCAATGGCTACTAGTCGATCTGATTCGAGATATAGATGTACCCTTAATTCGATTAACTGGACCTCCGTGCACACTTTAGGTCCCCATGCAGCGCCGCTAGCTTGGACCCAGAGGCGTGTGTGGGCTAAAGTTACATGGTGTAGGAGGGTTACCCACACACCAATCCAAAGTAGTCGACACCACTCAGAATAAGCTTGTGATAAGAGCTTGGCACAATAGGCCTAGCTCTGGGCCCTAAGTGTACGAGAACATTTTGCCACTGTGTCGGCTCTAATCTCCAGTCCCACATGATTGGATGAGTGCTGTTAACATCTTAGACGGGGATGGGTCCCGGGAGAACGGTAGCATTCTTTGCTATTGCTTGTGTAACAGGCATCGCCAATCAATCGCACCTCCTCTACTGGGAGGTTCAGACCTTCTCCTTGTGGCGCAATGAGAGAGTCGAAAAGGTCGTACAAGACCGAGGGGTATGACTGTCTATATTATATGGTATTATAGTGAGTGTGTTGCATCGATCACTATCCCACCCGATGCCAATGTATAGCAGTGTTCTGGTCCCGGAGACGTCGCCTTGAGGTTGCCTTGCTGGCAGTTTCTATGGAAATTTGCTGGAAGAATCCCTGGGTGGCCCCCCGTCTGCCCCGTCTGCCCCGATTTAGTAAGGCTGATGGTTGCAAAATGCGGATAAGCCAGCATTCTTAACTTAATCCGGGAAGTTTTCTCCGTAGGCGATTTAGGTCACGACGGGTGTGCTCCCTCATATTGGTAGTATAACTGCGAAAGTGATGACGAGTAGAGAGTAGTTGACGAAGGGAAAGCATACGTTAGAGTCATTTTAGCAACAAAATCAGTGGGAGAAGTTGTGGACGAGAATGAAGTTTTTGGGTGGGTGGTTGGAGAATAGTAACTAGTAGTTGCTAGAGAGAGGAGTTAAGTACTAGTACTCCGTAGTTAGCAGTAACAAGGTTCACCGGGAAGGAGCGACTCCGACTGGCTTCCCCGCATGGCTTCAACTCGGCCAACTTCTTTCTCTCTGCACTCTATCGCCTCGCCCTCCCTTCACTCACCCCCATTCAGACACCCTTATCGCTGATACTGTAATCTTACAACCACAGTCATGGCCTCTCTTCTCAAGAAACCTTTGAAGCTGGCTCTAGTCCAACTGGCCGCAGGTGCGTACGATTGCTATCTCACCCCGTCCCCACCTCCCCTCGCTCTCTCCCAAGCTGGTCCGAATCGAATGCTGAGAATTGATGGTCTTTAGGCGCCGACAAGACAGTAAATCTTGCGCATGCTCGCTCCAAGGTTCTTGAAGCTGCTAAAGCTGGTGCCTCTCTTATCGTCCTTCCGGAATGTTTCAACTCCCCCTACGGTACCCAATACTTTCCCAAGTACGCCGAGACATTGCTTCCTTCCCCACCCACCCAAGAACAGTCCCCCTCCTACCATGCGCTTTCGTCCATCGCCGCAGAAGCCAAGGCCTACTTGGTGGGTGGTAGCATTCCGGAACTTGAGCCGGCCACGAAAAAGTACTACAACACCTCGCTGGTCTTCTCCCCCACCGGTGCCTTGATTGGAACCCACCGCAAGACTCATCTCTTCGATATCGACATCCCCGGCAAGATCACCTTCAAGGAGAGCGAGGTCCTGTCCCCAGGTAACCAGTTGACCGTGGTAGATCTGCCGGACTATGGTAAAATTGGACTGGCTATCTGCTACGATATTCGCTTCCCAGAGGCCGGCATGATTGCGGCTCGGAAGGGCGCCTTCATGCTCGTCTACCCGGGCGCTTTCAACACCACCACCGGTCCGCTGCACTGGTCGCTGTTGGCTCGGGCTCGCGCCGTTGATAACCAGGTGTATGTGGCTTTGTGCAGTCCTGCTCGAGACATGAGCGCTTCGTACCACGCCTACGGTCACAGCTTGGTTGTGGATCCGAGCGCGAATGTGCTGGCCGAGACAGAGGAGAAGGAAGATATCATCTACGCGGACCTGGATAACGAGACCATCCAGAACACGAGGAAGGGTATTCCAATCTACACGCAGCGGCGATTCGATCTGTACTCGGACGTGAGTGCCGATAACAAATAGCGCTGAACCTCGCATTGAGTGCGACGAATTGAGCTACGAGCCAGTCATAGCCTAGAATGTAAATGAACGACTTACGAACCTAGTCCGCGACCGTTGAAATGGAAAGAGCGCGATAGTACACAGTAACTAAGAGTAGGAGAGCATGTAAGCAAGCCTGAAGCGGGATCATTTGTTGCCTCAGGCAATGACATAGTTAGCTGCGGGAAGGTACTCACGTGCTGGTAAAATGGACGAATCAGAGTGCGCACAGGCGATAAGCGAGCCGCACTGGAAAACCCACCAGCACTGCGAAAAAACACCATCTCGAAATCTCCTCATCCTTGACAGTCGACGACCACTGCAGCCCACGACAGCCGACACTTCTGTCCCTCATTCAGTGAGTGAGATCTCTCCGCAGATTTGCTTGAACTTCTTATTCTCTCCGCGAGAATTACCCCATCCTAACATTATCACCTCAACCACAGAAATGTCCGCCCCCGTCAAGACCGGCAAGAAGACTCGCTCGGCCATCGCCGACGTTGTCACCCGCGAGTACACCATCAACATGCACAAGAGAGTACGTTGAACACAGCCAAAACATCTGCACTTGAGATTCATCACAATTCGACTCTACCTGCGAGCGATTTCCGCGGAACCTCGAAAACATGGAGGCAATTGGACGGAGAACAAAAAAAAAGACAAAGCGGGAGTCCGAATCCTCGTTTCCTCCTCCCACCTCTACCACTCCCGAACTCGAGGAATACGAGTGAAGAAGGAGAGGTTTAGGGCGAGAGAGCCCACCGCACCTGTCTGAAAAACTACATGTGTGGAGGAACAATCAGGAACCAGATTGTTGAGGAAGATGAAGAAGAAGAAGAAAACCCATAAAAAGAAGAATTAGTTTGATGAAGTCCACCTCTATGGCCGCATTTTCGCAAAGCAAAAATCTCCAAAATCACATCTACCAGATGGCATTCGGGCGGAAGACTAATATTCGTTCTTTTTTTGGGTATAGATGCACGGTGTTTCCTTCAAGAAGCGTGCTCCTCGTGCTATCAAGGAGATCCGCGCTTTCGCTACCCGTGCTATGGTTAGTTCTCCCTCCCCACCCCTATAACCCAAGTACATATCACCTAACGCATACCCTCAATCGAACAGGGTACCACCGACGTCCGTGTCGACCCCCAGCTCAACAAGAAGGTCTGGGAAGCCGGTGTCAAGGGCGTCCCCTACCGTCTCCGTGTCCGCATCTCCCGCAAGCGTAACGACGAGGAGGGCGCCAAGGAGAAGCTCTACTCCTACGTCCAGGCTGTCAACGTCAAGGATGTCAAGGGTCTTCACACCGCCGTTGTCGATGAGGAGTAAATTTACTCTTCATTGATTACATAAAAAACAAACATCATGTATCTTATTCCCCCTAAAAGAAAATGGAAGCCCTGATTCTTTGCAAGCTTGACGGGTTCTCTCCTTTTTTTTTAATTATTCATGATGGATGATGCAACGGGACGGGGTTCGGCTTTTTGGAAGAGATCAATAAAAAAATTCCAAAATCTCCTTCCATTTTTCTTTAGTACTATATCAGTAGAAGTACGTAGGGTGATTGATCGACAGTGTTATCGTAGTAGTAGTAGTAGATTGGAGTCTTGAGGTGGAGGACTGTGGGCTATCAGCTACGTACCATGTCTTAATTTTTCCTAAGCATGGTGGTAGTTCGTGGTGGTAGTGGGGCACATACTTACATACCATACCTTATGCCGTAGTAAGTAGTATCAGTCATGGCAGTTGTACGGGTCACAAATTTTCCACCCGCCAATAATAATACTACAGAAGAGAAATCCAGATGTGAA